CACTTCTGTAAACACAGCAGCGCTGCGCTTAGGAACAGCAATGATACGGGGTTTCCTTGGTCACTTCTGTAAACACAGCAGCGCTGCGCTTAGGAACAGCAATGATACGGGGTTTCCTTGGTCACTTCTGTAAACACAGCAGCGCTGCGCTTAGGAACAGCAATGATACGGGGTTTCCTTGGTCACTTCTGTAAACACAGCAGCGCTGCGCTTAGGAACAGCAATGATACGGGGTTTCCTTGGTCACTTCTGTAAACACAGCAGCGCTGCGCTTAGGAACAGCAATGATACGGGGTTTCCTTGGTCACTTCTGTAAACACAGCAGCGCTGCGCTTAGGAACAGCAATGATACGGGGTTTCCTTGGTCACTTCTGTAAACACAGCAGCGCTGCGCTTAGGAACAGCAATGATACGGGGTTTCCTTGGTCACTTCTGTAAACACAGCAGCGCTGCGCTTAGGAACAGCAATGATACGGGGTTTCCTTGGTCACTTCTGTAAACACAGCAGCGCTGCGCTTAGGAACAGCAATGATACGGGGTTTCCTTGGTCACTTCTGTAAACACAGCAGCGCTGCGCTTAGGAACAGCAATGATACGGGGTTTCCTTGGTCACTTCTGTAAACACAGCAGCGCTGCGCTTAGGAACAGCAATGATACGGGGTTTCCTTGGTCACTTCTGTAAACACAGCAGCGCTGCGCTTAGGAACAGCAATGATACGGGGTTTCCTTGGTCACTTCTGTAAACACAGCAGCGCTGCGCTTAGGAACAGCAATGATACGGGGTTTCCTTGGTCACTTCTGTAAACACAGCAGCGCTGCGCTTAGGAACAGCAATGATACGGGGTTTCCTTGGTCACTTCTGTAAACACAGCAGCGCTGCGCTTAGGAACAGCAATGATACGGGGTTTCCTTGGTCACTTCTGTAAACACAGCAGCGCTGCGCTTAGGAACAGCAATGATACGGGGTTTCCTTGGTCACTTCTGTAAACACAGCAGCGCTGCGCTTAGGAACAGCAATGATACGGGGTTTCCTTGGTCACTTCTGTAAACACAGCAGCGCTGCGCTTAGGAACAGCAATGATACGGGGTTTCCTTGGTCACTTCTGTAAACACAGCAGCGCTGCGCTTAGGAACAGCAATGATACGGGGTTTCCTTGGTCACTTCTGTAAACACAGCAGCGCTGCGCTTAGGAACAGCAATGATACGGGGTTTCCTTGGTCACTTCTGTAAACACAGCAGCGCTGCGCTTAGGAACAGCAATGATACGGGGTTTCCTTGGTCACTTCTGTAAACACAGCAGCGCTGCGCTTAGGAACAGCAATGATACGGGGTTTCCTTGGTCACTTCTGTAAACACAGCAGCGCTGCGCTTAGGAACAGCAATGATACGGGGTTTCCTTGGTCACTTCTGTAAACACAGCAGCGCTGCGCTTAGGAACAGCAATGATACGGGGTTTCCTTGGTCACTTCTGTAAACACAGCAGCGCTGCGCTTAGGAACAGCAATGATACGGGGTTTCCTTGGTCACTTCTGTAAACACAGCAGCGCTGCGCTTAGGAACAGCAATGATACGGGGTTTCCTTGGTCACTTCTGTAAACACAGCAGCGCTGCGCTTAGGAACAGCAATGATACGGGGTTTCCTTGGTCACTTCTGTAAACACAGCAGCGCTGCGCTTAGGAACAGCAATGATACGGGGTTTCCTTGGTCACTTCTGTAAACACAGCAGCGCTGCGCTTAGGAACAGCAATGATACGGGGTTTCCTTGGTCACTTCTGTAAACACAGCAGCGCTGCGCTTAGGAACAGCAATGATACGGGGTTTCCTTGGTCACTTCTGTAAACACAGCAGCGCTGCGCTTAGGAACAGCAATGATACGGTGTTTCCTCGGTTACCGCTGTAAACAAAGCAGAGCTGCACTTATGTACACTACTTTAATATGTATTATACAGAGGCTAGATGAAAAGAAAATACCACGTAAACTTTTCTAAAGACAGTAAGTTCCCCCAGAGATACATTCATATAAACTCCTACTCCAATTGTATCGCGATTTGTGTAGCATCTCAACCGATTTGAATCGTCTCACATTTGAATCGATTTTCGACCGGCTCGCAGTTAATCGTTACATCCCTAGTAGCCATGCAAAGTTAAAACAGTTTCAACTTTTAGAAAACACATCGCAAATTTGTGGAGGTTTATTCCTTTTCACTGCGTCTCGTATGTTTTTAAGTGCAGTCTGTGAGATGGGCGATTCGGCTCTTTGTGTTAAGTGAAATTATGTTTGATTTATATGAGTTCATTTAGACAGTTATTGCCTTGTTGTCAATATAATGTGCTGAATTATTTTGCTCATTGTGTCCTCCTGTGGCCTCGGGAGACAAGACAAAAGTTTAACCTATTTAATCTGCATATAAAACATTTACACTACTTTAATATGTATTATACAGAGGCTAGATGAAAAGAAAATACCACGTAAACTTTTCTAAAGACAGTAAGTTCCCCCAGAGATACATTCATATAAACTCCTACTCCAATTGTATCGCGATTTGTGTAGCATCTCAACCGATTTGAATCGTCTCACATTTGAATCGATTTTCGACCGGCTCGCAGTTAATCGTTACATCCCTAGTAGCCATGCAAAGTTAAAACAGTTTCAACTTTTAGAAAACACATCGCAAATTTGTGGAGGTTTATTCCTTTTCACTGCGTCTCGTATGTTTTTAAGTGCAGTCTGTGAGATGGGCGATTCGGCTCTTTGTGTTAAGTGAAATTATGTTTGATTTATATGAGTTCATTTAGACAGTTATTGCCTTGTTGTCAATATAATGTGCTGAATTATTTTGCTCATTGTGTCCTCCTGTGGCCTCGGGAGACAAGACAAAAGTTTAACCTATTTAATCTGCATATAAAACATTAGAAATTAGATATGTTTAATTTTTATTTTGTGTTTGACTGTTAAAGCTAAAAATATTTATTGTTTGTCTCAATAAATTGAGTTAATTTAAAAATACAGTGGTTAAATGTAAAAAAAAATTTATATTGCTCCGTTTTAAAAAAGGTTATAAAAAATGTCAGTAATTATCGATAACGAACGATTTGAAACATTATATCGGTGATACATTTTTTTAGCTATATCACCCAGCCCTAGGATAATACACGGCTAGCTGTGCGTTGAACAATTTTAAAAACCAAAACCAATTGACACAAAGCTACGGCCTGCTTCAGATCAGATTCATTAATTATAACATTTAGCTACTTGAATGAATTATTTGATTGATCGATCGAGAGAGAGAGAGAGAGAGAGAGCGAGAGAGCGAGAGAGCGAGAGAGCGAGAGAGAGAGAGAGAGAGCGAGAGCGAGAGAGAGAGAGGTGACAATAGTCTACCTGTGCGTCTCTCTACAAACAATAAAGCTGTGAGTGTAGTTTCTTAAACAGAGATATAACCCTCTTGTTGCTGATGAATATAATGTAGAGATTCCGTATCTAAGCTATTTTATTAATAAAAGTCGAGGGGCAGTGTTTGTGTGTGCGCAGCGTGATCTCCGATCTCACAAAATAGACATTATTTTCAGGCCACATGTAAAATCATATGAATTATTATAAATGTGAAGGCAAGAACCACCTGACACAAAGCTACAGCTCGTTAGCTCAGCATTCTGCCCGCTTCAGATCAGAAAGAGAAGAGTGCGGAAAGATCACATTTATTTGAATTAATGATTTATGACATTTAGTTACTTGAATTAATTATTCGAGAGAGAGAGACAGAGAGAGAGAGAGAGAGAGGTGACAGTTGCCTCTGTGAATTAGCCTACCTGCGTCTGTGCGTCTCTCCTGTAGGCTATTTAATCTATTTTATTAATAATAGTCACGGGGCAGCATTCTCAAAACGTTTGTGTCCTCCTGAATGTTTGTACAAGTGCGCAGCGCGATCTCCGATCTCACAAACCAAAATAATAGACATGATAATAATTTTCTCAGGCCACATGTAAAATCATATGAATTATTATAAATATTATTAAAATCTATACATATGGATGACAGTTGATTACAATTATAATTCAGTTTATTCCCCTCATTTAGTTTCCCCTGTGGGATAAATAAAGCTAATATTAGTCTTATATTAATAATGCTTCATTAACATTGGTTCGGATTATCCCTGTTTTATTTATACGTCAAAAACCAACAAGATTTTTTTCACCATGTTTCCTAGTTCTCTGAGAATGTGAAAACACTAAATACTTTTAATTAGTTATTTTCAAAAGGGAAATACTGTCATGGATGTTTACAGAGCAGAGGTCACCCTTTCTTAATTTCAATAGGAGAGGTGGCCTTTTGTTTGTCTTTATTATTATTATTTTGTGCTGGGGGCCTATTATTGGTTACTGTGTTGCTTCTGTTTGAAAAGGCAGCAATAAATAACACTTTAAAAGCGTGATCTCCGATCTCACAAAATAGACATTATTTTCAGGCCACATGTAAAATCATATGAATTATTATAAATATTATTAAAATCTATACATATGGATGACAGTTGATTACAATTATAATTCAGTTTATTCCCCTCATTTAGTTTCCCCTGTGGGATAAATAAAGCTAATATTAGTCTTATATTAATAATGCTTCATTAACATTGGTTCGGATTATCCCTGTTTTATTTATACGTCAAAAACCAACAAGATTTTTTTCACCATGTTTCCTAGTTCTCTGAGAATGTGAAAACACTAAATACTTTTAATTAGTTATTTTCAAAAGGGAAATACTGTCATGGATGTTTACAGAGCAGAGGTCACCCTCTCTTAATTTCAATAGGAGAGGTGGCCTTTTGTTTGTCTTTATTATTATTATTTTGTGCTGGGGGCCTATTATTGGTTACTGTGTTGCTTCTGTTTGAAAAGGCAGCAATAAATAACACTTTAAAAGTGTTCATGTGATTTTATACACTAGTAATGTTGTGAAATTAATAAATGCATAATAATGGTGAAACCGTGATTATTCCTCAGACCAACACAGTCTATAAGTGTTGCATCCCTAGAAGAATCATGAAAGGCTGTCCAAACATGAGAGAAAGAACACACTCCTGCTCAGAGAAATGGTCTGCATTAACAGTGTTTTTGCAGGTCAGTTATTTATAAAGCTTTGTCTATATCAGTTTCTCATTTATTTGTGTTTTTAATCATCATAGGTCTACTTTTACTTTGTAAAGTGTCATAAGAAAGTTTGTTTAGTAGCTTTGCGCAGTAGTCAAGCTGCACTTGCATTACTTTCTGAGGAATGAAACCCCAGTGTGACTGCAGCACAAACTCTTGTTTCAGCTAAAGCAAGCGGTTCTTTCGCTTCGTTCATGGCTGTGGCGATCGATGCAGGTTCAGACCTCTCACGTTAAACCTTACTCTTTGCATTTTCAACAACATTGTGATTTTAAGGAACTCTATGTATCTGTAATCATGTATTTGCTAGCCTTGCAGGAGAGTTTGGCAGATTTTATTTAAGAGATTTGTTCTGCGTTCATGCGTTTAAAGTACTTATTTAGCGTCTTGTGGTCTTGCAGAAAGCTGTGCTGTCTTTGCTGAAGCTGGTGTGGTCCAAAGCGAGCTGTTCTGTTGTATGTATGAATTACCACCGTTTTGCCGTGTTTCTCTATTAACAGTGAAGCTGTGGCTTTAATTCCTTTAGAAACAATGATGCTACCAGCTCCTTGTTGAGAAAGATAATGTAGCTCTTGAGCGATTAAGCTATTTAGATGATCAAATTGCGGGGCAGTGCTAAAAACTTTGTTCCTGAATGTCTTGTGGGTTTTTTTTGTATTAAAATGAGGCTAATAAATGTATAAAGGGTATGACTGGTGTAATGTAGCAGGTGTGCTGCTGTTTTAAGTGGTCCTCTGATAGCATTAGATGCTCGTCTCGTGCTGTATAATGAGCGAGTGTGTGCTGGCAGTGTAGTGCAGCTACTGTGATTATGAGCGACCGTGTTGTTGCATCGCAAATCACGGCTGGCTTTTACTGTATTAACATGCTTTTTTAGCCGCCGCCTTGCTGTGCAAAATATAGATTTTTACTGTCTGCAAAAATGTTGGAAATTATGTGAAGGTGAAAATAGTGTAATTGGTGCACATCACATTCCCAAATTCACGTTAGTCTCAAAACACCGTGAGCTGAACCGCTCTGAGAAGCTGAAAACACTGATGACGAGCCACATTCAACACTGTACACTTCTATTATTCAATCCCGGTCAAGACAATATTAGATTGAACTAAATTGCTTTGACAAAGCACTGGCAAAAAATACAATGTGATATTATGTTGTTATAAGAAGTGAAATAAAATATTTTCTGTTGATTATAAAACTCACCACAGTATAGTTAATAAACAGGAACAATGTGTATAGACTAGAAAGCTGAATGTCATCTTCATCACTGGCTGACAAGAAGAAATGACTGAATGCTGTGCACTGAATGGAATGGTATGAAATAAACTAGTGTTGTCAAAAGTACCGACCGCGATACCATTCGGCACTGAAATTTTAAATGCTCCCATTTCCCGCCAAGATTTGAGTGCTGATTGGTCATAGTGTTCACACACTCAACAGATACGTCTGTGATTGGCTTCAGAGATAATTGCTTCACTACGACCAGTAAGCGCTGTTTAAGAATCTGCTCAATAGCGCTCAAAGCTTAGCGGGAATTGGGAGTATTTAAAATGTCAGTACCGAATGGTATTTTTGACAACACTAATATACTGTAAACCAATGATGTCTCTTCATTATGTAATGTGACTTGGCTGCTATTGCTCTTTTGATTTGCTTCAAGCATGGAATTATATTTTAGCAGCTGCTAAAAACATTTCTGCTACGAGCGTCTCAGCAGAGATATCGTCTGCTGTCACACTTGCCCGTACCGTGTCTGAATAATGAACTGCATACCATTTATTTTACTTTTTTTGTGAATATGCATTTGTGTAGTTTTAATTAATGATTAGATTGTAACATTCAATCCATGACCAGCCCAGCACAACAGCCTTGGCTCGGCCAGTAGTGTGAGTTTGGGGCGGGTTCATCTGCTTGGACTGACCAATAGAATACAGGGAGTATGTTCAGAAAATCTCTGTGGAAACATTTACTTTAATGGCGCAGAAATTACACCTTTTTTTATACAACTTTGAGAAGCCTAATTTTTAGTTGTCAATTTCTAGAGAGAGCGCAAAATCCCATGAACAGCAATGTAAATGAAAAAGACGAGAATGTGCGTTCTTAAAGATGTATGCAAGCTGTAAAATCTATTTAAAGTTTTTAAATAGAGTTGGCAAACACATTAGTAGCTCTTGTCAGTCCAACTCTTCAGTCTTTCCTAGAGTGATTGATTATATAATGGACTCACTAATGTGGTTTTCTCCTCTCCTCTCCTCTCTTGATTGCAGAAGATGCTGAGCCAGTGCGTGTGAGCGAGTGCTGTGGTCAAGGCCGTTCTGTTTTGGCAGTAGACGAATGGCACAGGGAAACCAGCAGATTGACAACCAGGTTCTGCGTCACCTGCGGCAACAGTTTCCAGAGCTTCCCGAGGACGTGGTGTCCGAGTGTGTCCTGCAGGTGAGGTACACCTGATTCCCAGAGCCTTTGCGAATTTGTACATTCTTTTGAAATTCAGTTCTGCTATTAAGTTAATCGATATCAAAAGTGACACATACAGTCAGGCCCATATATATTTGGACACAGACACAATTTTCATAATTTCGACTCCGTATCAATCAAGCTGAAATTGAAGTACAGACTTTAAGCTTTAATTCAAGGGGTTGAACAAAAATATAACATGAAATCCCTAGGAATTACAACCATTTTTATACACAGTCCCCCATTTTCAGGGACTCAAATGTAATTGGACAAATAAATATAATCATAAATAAAATGTTCATTTTTTGTATTTTGTTGAGAATCCGTTGCAGGCAATAACTGCCTTACGTCTGGAGCTCATGCACATCAGCAGAGATGGATTTGTTTTGATTTTGAAGCCTAACAATCATCTGCTTCACTTGTATGGAGAGATCCTTTTACCGCACGATGTGCTTCACAGCAACCGCTTCCAAACGCAAATGACACTCAGAATCAACTCCAGACTAGGGATGTTCATTTCGGTTATTTTTCCTAACCGAGGCTGGCTAACCGATTATTAACCGATTATCCTTTATTATTAAATTATAAAGGATAAGTGTCTGTGATTTGTTTCCCGGGGATTAATTTTACACGCGCAAAAAGCAGCAAACAACAGAACATGAGGATTCGCATGGTCTGCATATCATGCCGGCTCTGAGACACTTTCACAGTGTTTCTCCTGCTCTTTTTCTAGCAAAAACTCACTCATTACTAAATGAAAGCTTAAAGTGAAGACCTGATTATTTCAGGGGCCTTTTCACAAGTCCATTGCTTTTGAATTGCTGTGTTTCTTTGGCTATATTTTCACACTTAAAACAATAATCTGGTATTCCTCTTATATCATTGTCCTCTTTTATGCTAAGAAATAAATCTCCTGACAGTTCTCTCTCAAGTGGTTTCATTGTTGTCAGCATTAAGTCCGAGTATGATTCAGTCGGCTATATAACACTTAATTATCAAGAAATTACTAACCTTTAACAGTTTTGGTTCAACATACTGTACTTACCTGTTGATCAATACTTGCCTTAACCTTACACCTGAATTTATTTTTGTTTAGTTTTTGTGTACATTCACAATAAAAACTAATCTTTGTGCTTTCGTAAAATAAGCCTAAAGAATAAAATAGGATGCCACTTTCTGCCGTCGGTTTCCTTTTGCGCAGCACAAAAATGAACCGAAACTCTGCATACTAGGCTAGTTGTTTTTCTTTCGTTTTCGGAATTTATTAAGTAAAAATATATTTCTCGTATAGGCCTATTTATTATTATTATATTAATATGTTATTATATTATTATTTATATTTATAGCCTAGCTTTATGATGTTTTTCTCCGCTGGCAGAAGCGCTGCAGGTGTGTGATGTGAAATGAAGACCATGTGAATCCTCATGTTCTGTTGTTGCTGCTTTTGTAAAATTAATCACCGGGAAACAAATGTTAGCATTTTTAATGTGTCACAGACACTTATCCTTTCTAATTTTATTCAACTCTAATTTAAAATAATCTAGTCAGTTAACGGTTAATAATCGGTTAACGAGTGTCGGTTGTCGGTTAGGTAAAATAACCGAAATGAACATCCCTAATCTGCATACATTGTTAACTTAGCACTTCTTAATACCAGATATAAATCATATGTGAAAATGGAATACAAAAGTGGTCCTAAACAGCTCCCTTGTGGAACTCCTATCTGAGTAACTTCCGTTAAAAAAACCTTTCTGTGATCTGTTATCCAAATAACTTTCCATCCAAGCAATTACTTATGGTCTAAATCTATAACTCCAATTTTTCCAAAAGAAGCTTATGATCAATAAGGTCAAATGCAGCTGTAAAATCTAATAAGACTGCTCCGCATATCCTTTTTTTATCCAACCCTCGATACCATTCTAGGGATGCGCCGATCCGATATTCATATCGGGTATCGGCTCCGATAGTGCCCTTTTTCTCGGATCGGGTATCAGTCAGAGAGAACCGATCCAAATCCGAGATTTAAAATAAAAAAATATATATTTTCTGATGCGCTACATGTAAACCATATACTTTGTTGTATTTTCCTGTAAAAATAACAGAGTTCCTGTGGAATTCTTCAGCTTTTAAGAACTGCCGGGTTTTCCTGTAGTGGGCGGAGCTAATGCACTAACGACAATCTCATTGGCTGGCGCTCACCTAGTATCCTCCCTGTTTAGAGTTCAGCGAATCAGTTCCAGCGAACGCTCACAACCTGATTAATATTCATGAATCCAGTAGCTCAGAATTATCCACTAACCTAGTTTATGATACATTTTTGTCATAGATTATAAATATACATAGGCCTATATTTTTCATTTGTTTATTTTATTTTTCTTTATAATGAAGTAGTCTGTATCTAGTAGATTGTGAAAGAATGATTATCAGTTCCACACACAGAGATATATACATTCTACATTTATTTAAATGAGGGGAAAAAACTTCTCTGGTATCGGAATCGGTATCGGCCAATACTGAACCCTAGGTATCAGAATCTTATCGGAGGCAAAAAAGGTGGATCGGAGCATCCCTATACCAATCATCTGTTATTTGTGCTAAAGCTGTACATGTGGAGTGTCCTTTTCTAAAAGCATGCTGATAATTTGATATCAGATTATTCTGTGACACATAGTCCTGTATTTGATCATATACTGCCTTCTCTAGGATCTTACTTAACACTGGTAGCACACTCACCGGGCTGCTATTAGAGCCACTAAATTGTATTTTTCTATCTTTAGTCAAAAGCATAATTTTAGCTTCCTTCCGGGCCTGTGGAAATATTGATTGCTTAAGGCTCATATTAAAAATATGGCATATTGGACCAGACACATAATCTACAGCTAATCGGATCAGTTTCTCATCTATATTATCTATCCCTGGTTGTTTGTCTTTACAGACAGATTTTATTAGCCTTTTCACAGTTTCTTCTCCCAATTCACCAAACTCAAAATAACAGTTCTTATCTCTCATATAGTTCTTTATATTAAGAATCGTAGAGGTATTCTCTGTCACATATGATATTTCTTTCCTCAAATTCTGTATCTTACTGCTAAAAAAATCTGTCAAATAATTAGCAGTTTCTTCAGGTTTTGTCATATAAGTACCTTCACAGTCAATTGAAGCAGGTTGTGAGGACTTCTGTCTTCTCATTATATTATTTAATACCTTCCAAAGCTTCTTCCCATCTTTCTTCTTACTTAACTGTAATGTATAATATTGTTTCTTTTTATTAAGACCAGTGACATAATTTCTCAATTTACAATATTTCTGTCTATTGGTTTTTTTTTTTTTGCTTTTTCCAAAGCCTCGTCTCTTTGAGCCATGTAGTCCTTTAATTCGCTATCAATCCATGACGCTCTACAACCCTTTATAATTAATTTCTTAACAGGTGCATGATTATCAATAACTGGCAGAAAATGTTCCAATGAATAATTCAAGTGCATTATTTGGTTCTTCTACATCATAAATCTCTGACCACTTTATATTACTAATATCCCTCAAGAAAGCTTCCTGGGAAAACCTCCTATATGACCTTTTAAACACAATTCTTTACTTAGCTTTGGAAATTTAGTTTTTCCTTGCAATCACAACTATATTAGGATCACTACAACCTACTTCAACTGAAATTGCTGCCGTATACAAATCTTCATTTCTCAAATAAATATGATCTATACAAGATAACGTGGACTTGCCCTTATTATTAATGCTTATTCTCGTTGGTTGCCTTACCGTCTGTTTCAATCCACATGCATCTATTATATTTACCATTTGATTATTTAAAAAGCACTCATGTACTAACCAATTAATATTAAGATCGCCTAAAAAAACAACTTCTATATTCAATTCACATACCTTATTCAGCATCTCACCCATGTCTTCTAAATATTTATGGTTTGAACCTGGTGGCCTATAACGACATCCTACTCAAATTGGCTTGACATGAGGTATGTTACCTTGCAGCCATAGAACCTCCACTTTATTACACATGATATCATTCCTTACTCTTACAGAAATTTGATTCTGCACATAAAAGGCAACACCTCCACCGTACTTATTTCTATCTCTTCTATATAAATTATATCCTCTTATAGACACAGCATTATCATCAAATGTCTCATCCAAATGAGTTTCAGATATAGCAACAATATTAATTGTTTGATAGCAACAAATCAGCAACTTCATGTACTTTGTTCCTCAAACTACAAATATTCAAATGAGCAAACTTGACATATTTCTATGGCAATAAAACGGCAATACACACAATATACAGCACATCACATCACGTCGCACCTTTGATCCTTGTCACATTCTCACATCTTCTCCTTTGCTTGCCGCTTATGACCAATGAGTTTATCGTACCTTAAGAAAGCAATGTCCCCTGTTTCTCTTGCAGCTTTCATTTTAGGAATCAGTTCCTTTCTCCTCTTTCGAACTGATTCAGGATAGTCCTCATTTATAAAAATAAATGCGTTGGCCATCACTCGATCTCTGTCCTTGATTCTTAAAAAAGACACCATTGTTGGGCGAGGCCGACTCCGGATTTCATCCTGTACTTTAAGAGCTTTTCCAACTCGTTGAACTTTCTGTATACCGATGTTGAGTGGGTCCAAATCCAATTTATCCTTAAAAAGAGCCAGCACCTTCTCTGAAAATGAAATAATAAAATGCGACTTATACGCGACTTGTCTTTTTTCTTTTCCCTAAAAAACAAAAATGTTTATGTGCATAGCGTATTTTAACCATGCAGCAAACCTTTTTAAATATTTTGGTAAATTACTGAAAAATAAATAAATAACTTTTTAAACCGTTTAACTGATTGTATTAATCGGTCAAAATTATTACGGTCGGTTAGGTTAACCGGTTAAAATGAACATCCCTACTCCAGACCTTTTACCTGCTTAATTGATGTAGAAATAATGAAGGAATAGACCACACCCGTCCATGACACAGCTTTTGAGTCAACTGTCCAATTACTTATGGTCCCTTGAAAAAGGGGGGAGGTACATATTAAAAAGCTGTAATTCCTTAACCTTTAACCTCCAATTTTGATGTGAATACCCTCAAATTAAAGCTCAGAGTGTGCACTTTAAGCCCATATTCATTATATAACTCTAACTTGAATATGTTTTGGTCAGCAGCTAAAATAATAAAAATTGTGCCTGTGTCCAAATACATATGGAACTAACTGTATACAAAAGTGACCCACACATACAGTATCTACTTGATCTGAAGCTGACAGACTTGTCTCTCTCTTCTCTCCCCAGAATAAGAACAATTTAGCTGCGTGTTGCGAGTACCTGACCAAGGTGAGTCCTGGTTTCTTGTATAGCGAAGGCAGCCAGAGTTCGACAGATCTTCGCAATCACATGACCCAGCTCAACCTCGGCATCTCTCAGAATACCCATGGCGCTGTGCAGCGAGATGTAATGAGGATGAATGGCAGCAGGACTGTCACCCCCAGCGCGAGCGATGGGCCTTTGACCGTACCATCCCCTCTCTCCGAGTTCTACCAGCCCGAAACGCCGTCTGTGCCAGCACACACGCCTGTGAGTCTCGGCGCCTTCGCCACCATGGAGTCCACTCGCAAGCCACAGCCTCCTCAGGACCTGGGCCTTTACCAGGTCGGGGGCAAAGGTCACAGACCGCCTCCCACCCCACGCTTCAACCCGATAACGGTGACGCTTGCGCCCAACACCGGCCGCAACACGCCAACCTCCCTGCACATCCATGGAGGGCCTCAGTCGGGCCTGAACAGCCCAAACTCCATCTACATCCGGCCGTACGTGACCCAGCCAGGCTCCACGCGACAGGTGCAGGGCCGAGCTCAGTACAGCCCCACCTCGCAGCCTGCTCAGCAGATCTACCAGATCAGCCACCCTGCAGCTTCCCAGAGCTCCTGGACTGGCAGCCAGCATCAGACCTCACACGTGTACATGCCCATCAGCTCGCCCACCAACACCCAGGCGCCCTCCATTCCCTCGGCCGTGGCCTTACAGGCCGCTTCCTCCACACCCTCGCCTTCCTCCAGCTCGTCCTCCTTTAGCCAGTACAACATCCAGAACATCTCGACCGGGCCGCGGAAGAATCAGATCGAGATAAAGCTGGAGTCTCCGCAGAGGGTGTTTGGAGGGTCAACGGCAACACTCCTGCGCACCGGCTCTGCGCCGCGAGCCGCCTGTAGCTCCACGTCTTCGTCCTGTCCAGCGTCGTCTTCGCTGGCTGCGTCCGCGGGTCCCTCCACTCCCATCTCGATCGGCGGCGCCGGGCTGAGTCGCAGCCAGCCCACGGTGTACATCTCCCCGTCCCCGCCCGCTGCAGACGACTGTGCCCTCGTTCCCAACGCCCCTCGCTCGCAGCCCAAGTTCTACATCTCTGCGAATGCGTCAGCCGACGACGGAGGGGCGAGGAATCCGCCGACGGTCTATATCTCTGCCAATCCCGCGCTACAGGGCTCTGCCGGTCTGCGAGCTTTGGGGAGCCAGGTGAGCATGGGCCCTGCATACATACACCACCACCCGCCCAAATCCCGGCCCTCTGTAGGAGCCGGAGGCACGGCCACGTCTCCTCGTGTGGTGGTGACGCAGCCCAACACCAAATACACCTTCAAAATCACTGTCTCCCCCAATAAACCTCCGGCTGTGTCTCCTGGGGTGGTGTCGCCCACGTTTGAGCCCACTAACCTGCTCAGTCTACCGGGCGATCACCATTACGTGGAGCCGGATCCGCTGTACCAGTCCGACCCGCTCTCACCTCACCAGGACAAAAGCTCGGAGCAGCACAGACTCAGCATGGGTGCGGACGATGCTGCGTACACACAAGGTACGTTCGTCAGTGAGGGCGAGCACTTTCTCCAGCTCTGGTGTTTTGTTGATTGTGTTTTACGATGCCTTCCGTTCGGATTTAAAGGAGTAGTTCACTCCAGAATAAAAATTTCCTGATAATTCACCCCCATGTTATCTGAGATGGTCATGTCTGTCTTTCTTCAGTCTCGAAAAAATTGAGGTTTGAGGAAAACATTCCAGAATTTTTCTCTATATAGGGGACTTCAATGGTGGCCATCGGGTTGAAGGTCAAAAATTGCAGCTTCAAAGGGCTCTAAATGATCCCAGCCGAGGAATAAGGGTCTTATCTATCCAAACGATTGCTCATTTTCTAAAAAAAAAAAAAGAGCTTTTAACCACAAATGCTCGTCTTGCACTAGCTTGACCTCACGCATTATGCAGTGTTGGAAAGGTCATGCGTGACGTAGGCGGAAACACCGACCCATTGTTTACAAAGCGAACATGCAAAGAAAGTCAAACACCCTTGAAGTTGGAGGAGAAAATGAGATTTTCACCCTACCCTACCGTTTTGAACCAAAGTACACCGACAAAGAACTAACCGTACGTGACTTTTCCAACATGATTTCTTAATGCGCATCACAGAGCTAGTGCAAGATGATCATTTGTGGTTAAAAAGTACAAGCATTTAAATTTTTTTAGAAAATGAGCAATCGTTTGGCAAGGTAAGACCCATATTCCTTGGCTGGGATCATTTAGACCCCTTTGAAGCTGCAATTTGGACCTTCAACCCATTGGCCACCATGAAAGTCCACTGGAGAAAAATCCTGGAATGTTTTCCTCAAAAAACTTAATTTCTTTGTGACTGAAGAAAGAAAGACATGAACATTATGGATGACATGGGGGTGAGTAAACTATTGGAAAATTTTCATTCTTGAAGTAAACAAATCCTTTAATACATTATTTGATGATCTTTTTGTAGGATATTTTTACATTTAAGATATTTAAGATTTCTAAACTAGAACTGTCCTCACCACCAGCCTAGGCTATTTCAGATATTTACCTTTTTTGATCCTTCTGATTTTAGGTTGCTAGACATTAAAGCAAATAATTACCGAAAATAGACGCATGGTCCATCTGATCTGCTCATAGTGTTCATTAGAAAAAATGTAATTGTGTTAAAGTCCCCCTGTGGTGAACATCAAGTTTTTTAAATGTTGTTTATTTGTCTATGTGGTGTTTTTAATATGCTTTTAGACAAACCATGTGCCAATCCATTTATCAACAGCATTGCTGAGTATTTTCTCCTTAAAACCGTAGTTTCCCAAAGGCAGTCACAGAAACGCGGTTTGAAACAGCCTTTTTTTTGCGACGTCACAAAATTCAATAACCAATTAGCATATCATTAACTGTGCTGCAAAGCAGAGGGTCTAGTGAGAAGGCAGCCAGGTTATTCTGGTAGCAGTTATATTTTTTCTGTAGCTGTTTCACTAACTGTTAATATTTCCACCTATTTTCACGATGTCATGTGCTGTTAGCGCTTATTTGTATTTAGAACCGCTAACTTGAATAATAACCCACGACAGCAGTGTAAAAGTAGCCCGAAATCAGACGCACCTCTCCCGCATTGACATCCGCACGTCACACGTGCATCACAAACTTGGCTGCATTTGAGTCTTCAAGGCATTTTGAGGACACAACATCGTCAAGTAAGTACATTTAATGAATGTTACAGTATCCACTGTAGTTGTCCGCTAGTAAAAACGGTTTTATCAGTTATTATCCGTGTACGAACCAGCGCAATCAAATAATGTTACCTCACGAAGTTAGCCATCAGTCTCCTTGCTTACGTTGAGCATACCAGCTTATTTCTGGTTCAAACACATATGGCTTAAATAAACCAATATTTCCACTTGCCATTGTGTCGCGTTTACTGCCGGTCAGTTAGTGGTTCAGGAGGCGCTGGCTCATGGCTGGCTGCTGTGTGACTGAGTGGAGGCGGGGCTAATTTGTGTATTCATAGATCCGCGTGTAGTAAATGAGGCAAGGGTGTAGAGTTGCATTCAAGCATTTTAAGGCATGAGAAAATTATTTTTACAATAAAAAACATTTAAATGTCATTTTGATGATCAAAGATGAGTTTTAAAGGATAACATTTTTGACTACAGGGGGACTTTAAATTCTGGTACAGCAAATAATCTTTCTTCTGCTTTCACCTCTTTCTCTGTATATTAGCCAATATTGAGAATAATGCCAGATATGTTCACAAGCACTTGTGTCCCATATAGAAAGCAGCCTTCCTAGTGTGAGGCATGCTATATATTTTATGTTGTAAAACCTTATAAAACTGAGAACCCAGACATGCTCAGAAAAACTGGGGTCGTAAACGGAGTACTGTGTTGTTAACTTCCAGCTGGAGATGAAAGCCAAGCTCCTTATGCGTGTGTGTGTGTGTGTGTGTGTGTGTGAAATGTAATGAACAGTGTTGTGTTTGCCTTATATAGCCCATATGACACCTAAAGGCCGTGTCACACTGGAAGCAATGTGAAAAAGGCAAAAAATTTAATTAGAGGTACAATTTGCATTAAGCCACATTTGAAAATGTATGTAATTAATTTGCTTAAAACCCACTTTAAACCATCATCAAGTGCTTGGAATAACTTCTGACTGTGATCTATAGTTGATTTTGATTCTATAATAGGCAGACATGCACTCTTTGTATGTTTAATAACGCTACACTGCTTATCATTTGTCAACATCCTTTTCTTGTTATAAAAATACCATGAGCTGCACACAAAACACATGCAGAAAATATATCGTCATAATCTTATGTCTGTTTGCTTTCATATTTCATGTGTAGAAAATGTTTCACTCTATGTTGTTTTTTTTAGTACGGAAGATCTATAGCAGTGATCCTCAAATCTGGCTTGCGAGATCCACAGCGAACGAGACGCTGCGAGGGCACATTGGGGAATGCAGCTGCATGATCGGTGTCTGAAGCACGTGTGAAACAACGCCAATCTATTGGTCCACCTGGCCCATGATGTCATAGACAGTATACCCGGAAGTATAAAAGGGCACCTGCTGTATACGTCATCCACTTAGCTGTCTGAAGGAGACGTAAACAGGCAGGCCGTAGGCATGGCGAGGGGGCGCAGCGTCTCGTTCCCTCTCGGGGAACCATGGTTACATGCATAACCAGAGACGTTCCCCTTCTAGGGAACTCCATGCTGTGCCCCCTAGGGGGCATATTGGGGAACAAAATCCAACCATGTCATGCCGAGGCGCGTGCCTGTCCACCTGGTGGAGGAGCACCAAGGAAGCGACAGACATGAACAAAGCCTTTCCTCAGAAAGGGGCCATGCCACTGCGCCACAGGCCGCTCACACAATTTGGCAGAAATGGGGAACCCGACTAGATCAAGGGCCACACCCCACACCCAAGTTAAGAGCACAACTATCCTCAGATAGCTATGCTATGTGAGCCATATAAGCCTGGATACACAAGACCACTGAAGATACTAACTAGAAAGCCACTAGAGGAGCTCAAAGATAGCTACTTAAACCCTGGTAAGGAGAAATAGCTGCAGAGCAAGAACACAGCTATCCTCAGATGGCTGTGCTAAGGAGGTTCCCAGTCCATGTCAGTCCCACAGTAGGCTAGCGAAACACCGTGTCATTGACCAGGAGCTCACAAGAGGGAGATCCGGGCCATCAGTAAATTATTTTTTAAGAGCGAACACATAAACATCATTAGTCCCAGATCAAAGCCTGATGTAAGCTGTGGCCAAAACACTAGAGGGCTGGACACAGCTATCCTCGAATGGCAGTTCCCTCAGATAAGGCTGAAGATCGCCCAGACCACAGAAGTGGGCCATCTACTTAAAAGGGGAGATAGCACAGTCCATGCAAGGGGCTCATGGAGACCACTATTTAAAAACCCTAAAAATGGGAGCAGTCTCTGAGCTGGAACACAGCTATCCTCGAATAGCAGATTCCTAGACAAAGACTTCAGCGCTTAATCGAGAGAACTTGTGCCAAGGGGAACCCAAGCCAGGCTACAAAATAGCTGCCCTCAGACTGCCTTATTCCAGAGCAAAATAAGCTTGAACTGGAGCATAACCATCTGCAGACAGCTACACTCTGAGTAGGGACTGTTTACTTGAGCCCTGAAGAGGGGAAGCAGTATACTTAGCCCAAACCCACTAAGCGGGATTCAGAGGGACCGCCCACTTAAAACTACTCAGACGCCTGGGGAGGCAGCCCACTCCTAAACCCATCCGGATTAACTCGGGAAGAGAAATTCTCCATAACCGCTATAGGTGCTGAAACTCCCTGGGAGAGAAAGCTTGCAAGTCTCTCTCCACAGAGTATTTAAATATATTCACGCCCAGCGAAGCACTCCACACACAATAACATGCATATTAGAGAGGCACGGCCGAGCTGAATATAGCTCCACCCACGATCTCGCAGGAGCAGGCTGAAACGACTCCGTGGTCACACTTCGTCATAACAACCCAATAGTATCTGCGGCATCTGACACTTAATGCATAGATCGTGTGTGTCCTCAAGTGTCAGAAACCTCAGGCACGGAAGCACACACTTTCCACAGCGCTCATCTGCCTTGGTCTCTCACACGCACTTCAAACAGATGGCTCCTTCAGACAGCTAAGTGGATGACGTATTCAGCAGGTGCCCTTCTATACTTCCGGGTATCCCGTCTATGACGTCATGGGCCAGGTGGACCAATAGATTGGCGTTGTTTCACACGTGCTTCAGACACCGATCATGCAGCTGTATTCCCCAATGTGCCCTCTAGTTCCCTAGAAGGGGAATCCTTGCTTTTTCAGGCTGCGAATGATCGTGCCTGGTGTGAAAAGGCCTATAGGGATCTATTGTTGCGATTCAAAAGCGTCATTGCACCGAATTTTCAGTGTGAAAAGGCCTTAACTCTAACAGTTGTCCAGTAACACTTCATTTTCATTTATTTCTTAAGCTCCTAGCAGACACTTCAGATAATATTTACATTTGCATTTAGTCTTTTAGCAGACGCTTTTATCCAAAGTGACTTACAAATAGGGCTGGACAATAATTCAATATCAATATGTATCGCGATATAATTTGTTTCAATAACGGTGATATGATTTTTAAACACATTTCCGATATTTCGATATACATCACCAGTGTTTCCCATACATTGATGTATTTGTGACGTTTGACTTCGTTGAATAAACATGAGCGCTGCACGTTTCAAAATCATAACACGTCTCTGGTGTTTTATATGAATGTATCACTGAAGGGAACCGACTGTCTTCAGAATAGTTTAGATGGTATGTTTATCTGATAAAGTAGCGTTCATGAGTGAGCTGCTGTGTTTACAGCCGTTACTGGAGAAACCGCTAGTTCTGCCGCTCTCACAGCGCCTCCTGCTGGCAGACAAGCAGTTTGCATTTTAAATAAGCCCATCTCCAGCAACGTTTCCAGTTTTTGTTGTTGTTCAATTTTTTTGCTTTCTGCAGCGACTCGGAGCACTTTTCATACCCTTTTTTCTGGCTGAAGCACATTTGTTTCAATCTATAAGAATAATCAGCCTGCACTACCAGTCAAACGTTTTTGAACAGTAAGATGTTTAATGTTTTTTGTTTTTTAAAGAAGTCTCTTCTGCTCACCAAGCCTGCATTTATTTGATCCAAAGTACAGCAAAAACAGTAAAATGTTGAAATATTTTTACTATTTAAAATTGCTTTATATTTAAATAGATTTTAAACTGCAATTTATTCCTGTGATCATACATAGGTACATTTTCAGCATCATTCCTCCAGTCTTCAGTGTCACATGATCTTCAGAAATCAGTTTAATATGCTGCTCTGCTGATTATCAATATTTAAAACAGTTGAGTACATTTTTTTTGTGGATTCTTTGATGAACAGAAAGATCCAAAGATCAGCATTTATCTGAAATAAAAAGCTTTTGTAACATTATACACTATTCCATTCAGTATAATTTTTTATAATTTTTTTGGGAAAGAAATTATAGAAATTAATACTTTTATTTAGCAAGGATGCTTAACATTGATCAAAAGTGATGATAAAGTCATTTATAATGTTACAGAAGATTTCTATTTCAGATAAATAGTGTTCATATCGATGTCGGAATTATATCGTATCAACCGAAATTAAGAAATATATCGTGATATAAATTTTGGCCGTATCGTCCAGCCCTACTTACAAATGAGGACAATGGAAGCAATCAAAATCAACAAAAGAGCAATGATATGCAAGTGCTATAACAAGTCTCAGTTAGCTTAACGTAGCAAGGTTTATTTTTATATTAAAATAAATAAAAAGAGAACCGATAGAATAGAAAAAGAAAAGAGCAAGCTAGTGTTAGGCTGCTTTCACACCTGTAGATCGATCGCTTTGTTCCGAAACAGGGTTTACAATTATTACAATAATGTGTTAATAAAAGTCACGCGCGAGTAAACTTCTCGTATTGGTAAAAGTTCCACGGTTTATTTTCCGGGATTCCACTGAGCTGTCACGGCTGTCATCCGTCAGGACGGAACAACAACAGCTTTTTTTTTTAGCTGTCGTTATATTTATCATTTTGAGCAGGAGTCCAGGATTCATCGGGAAAACATTTTTAAAATGCACCTACTAGGAAGAAGAGCAATAAGACGGAATTATAAAATGAAAAAGTGCGCTTTTTTATTTTGAATGGCGAAGACGTGCTCACCCACAGACACTCACAGGTTCATTCTGAGGTATTAGCAAAACAACAAAGCTAATGCTTTTCACAGAACTTGCGTAATTACGTGACGTGATGTGACATGTGGCCAAGTATGGTGACCCATACTCCGAATTAGTGCTCTGCATTTACCCATCCAAAGTGCACACACACAGCAGTGAACACACACACACTGTGAACACACACCCAGAGCAGTGGGCAGCCATCATGCATTGTGATATAGCCTGGTTCGTTGGTCTGTTGGATCGGATTGCTTTCTCACTTCAACCGGACCGCTCCAGAGTTAGTTTTCAATCGAGCCGAGACCACCTCGTTCAGGCGATCTCGAACTTTTGTTTTGGCGCGGATCCGAGCGCGATTGCAGTGTTCACACATGCCCAAACGAACCGAGCTAACGGGGGAAACACGCCAGGTTCTGAAACAACAGGCCAGGTGTGAAAGCACGCTTAGAGGCCTTTTTTGCTTTTGTTAATTGTATAATAAATAAAAAGAAAACAAATAGAATACAAAAAGATTAGAGAAACTAGTGTTAGTTTTTTTTTTTTAAGCTTCCAGTTTTCATATTGGTCTGTTGAATAACCAAGTTTATGCGTGAGCAGAGAAACTGTTTACTACTTTAAAGACCCCTCAATGCTTGTATATGTTCTGGCATCACTAGATCATTACACACTGGTAAAGCTGTTAATGGTGCGTGTGTGTGTGTTTTATATGTATTTGGACATGTTTGTGAACGTGTGTACGGTCCAATTCTGATGAGATTAGTGTTATAGGGAGGTGGGGTAATGTAGTAATTACCAGAACTTCTAGACCGTCTCAGTAGTTTCTCGATTTCTGGACTGCATGTGAATTTTACAGCGTATTTGACCTCCTGTAAAAATAGTTAATGTAATAACCAGTGCTGTCAATCGATTAAAAAAATTAACTAATTGGACATTTTCCTGAAATTAATCGCAATTAATCCCACCTAACATTAAGGTTTTTAAATATACTTTTATATTGCAATAATTTCACATTCAATCTTCCAATTAATGTACAAACAACATAAAGACAGTATATATTTTAATATTTGTTTAATGGCATCTTTTTTTTATGACTGAAGGCCAGAATCAAATTATACCAAAACTGATTTCTCTATAAAATTGCCCCCCCCCCCCTAATATTTAACCATTGACAAACCTTTCAACATTACAGTATAATTGAGCTATCAATTTTAACATTTATTAGACTTTAAAAAAAGTGAACTTTAAAACAATTTTCACATAAACCCATTATAATATATGTAATATTTACCTGTGCCCTTCAGCAGAAATATACAGTAATTGAAATTTAAGTTATCAAACACTAAATTCTAAATGAAATATAGATGAATCCTTAAAGCTATAAAAGTTATTTTTTCCTCTTTTTTTTTTTCTTTGTCCTTTGATTAATAGACATCACAGCAGCTGGTTATTAGGTTGTTTTGGCTGCTATTTCTTTGACCCACTTCAGGTCTTAAAGTCTCTAGTAATGATCCGACGAGCTGAATCGGGTGTGTTAGATGAGGGAGACAGTGCTGGGCTGCTCCAGGACAGTTTTGAAAACCATTTCATGTTCTTAAATGTGACTCATATAAAATATATTACATGCATGCACAGTTTTAAGGCAGCTTTAATCGCCTTTTTGGTAACTTCATGACTTAACTGACCACGACATTGCATGCACGTAGTTTATTTCGTGCTTTGATATGAAAGGATACAGGCTACAGTGTGCGCCGGCGCCTTTGTGCGTGCAATTGAAGAGCACGCGCTGCGAGCACAGTACCGTTTCCGGTGCTGAAGTCAAGAGGAGCACGCGTCTGAAACGTCGTTCTGTGACTGAATAAATGCACTTCTTGTCAAGAGAAAAAGTGACAAACAGCAGTTGTGATTGGGGTGGCCAACCCTAGCCCCGCCCCTGCGTTATTTGCGTTAAATATTTTTAACGTGTTAAACTGAAAAAATTAATCGCCTGCGTTAACGCTCTAATTTTGACACCACTTGTAACTACCCCATGTAATAATAGTCCCATGTTAGTAAAAAACTCAAACAAATTAATTTTCTGTTATGATTACATACTCGCTAATGTCAGTAGTGCTGCTGAAATACAAGCATGTTTAATATTTCCTGTTTAATTATTTAGCACCTAAATACATTTGCATTGCATAATCTGCTTACCAAATATGAGTGCATTGTTTATGCCATTTGGAATGCAGTATATATTGAGTCTCGGATGACTAAATGCTCACGTGATGCTAAATGCTAGTTGATCAGATGTTCTGCGGTATTGTTTTTGTGTGATTAGTTTCTTTCCACGTGTATCTGACGATGGTCCGTGTGAACTTGCAGCTTTGCTGGTGCATCAGAGAGCACGCATGGAGCGACTGTGGCATGAACTGGAGCAGAAGAAGAGAAAGCTGGAGAAGCTGAAAGAAGAAGTCAACGAGATGGAGAATGACCTCACACGGAGACGAATGCAGCGCTCCAACTCAGCCTGTCAGATACCATCTGTACGTTAATGCTTTTAGGAAAACATCTCCTCTAGATTAGGGCATATTTGTGACCCTGGACCACAAAACCAGTCATAAAGGGTCAGTTTTTCGAAATTGAGATTTATGCATCATCTGAAAGCTGAATAAATAATATTTTCATTGGTGTATGGTTTGTTAGGATAGAACAATATTTGAAAATCTGGAATCTGAGGGTGCAAAAAAATCTAAATACTGAGAAAATCATCTTTAAAGTTGTTCAAATGAAGTTCTTAGCAATGCATATTACTAATCAAAAATTAAGTTTTGATATATTTACGTTAGGAAATGTACTAAATATTTTCATGGAACATGATCTTTACTTAATATCCTATTGATTTTTGGTATAAAAGAGAAATGTATAATTGTGACCCATACAATGTATTGTTGGCTATTGCTACAAATATCCCCCAGCGACTTAACACTGCTTTTGTGCTGCAGGGTCACATATACTACAGTTTGAGTATGATTCGTTATGAAATTGGTGCTTCTCGATATGCTTATATAATCTATGTAAGTTTCCTCGGAACATGTTTTTTTCTAGATGTCAGTAATCTTGAGCACACTTGAGTCCGATGCATTTAGGGAGTATATCTGGTCTGTATATCTGATTTTTATGATGGACGTGATGCAAAGTAACAAAGCGTTAAATATAGAACAACGCAATTCACTTTTACACACTTGACATGTTCATCTAAATTTATTTTCAGATTGAGGAGATGCAGCAATTGAGGTGTAAGAATAGACTTCTACAGATCGATATTGATTGTTTAACCAAAGAGATTGACCTCCTTCAGACACGAGGTGAGTCTATAGAGAGCTTACACTTGCTTTCTCTGGGTTTTCACAGCAGCTTGTGTTTCGCTTTCTTTTGCGGCAGCTGTTCGGGAAAAATGTGAAAGGAAAGTGGGTGTGGCATTACAGGTCAAACAGATGGGCTGCCAAAAGTGTTCCAAAGTTAAAAGAGACGGCAAATGATGCTTGGTGGATAAATGACAGAATGACAGGAAGGTCAGAGTAGTTTAGTTTGAGTGCAGTCACCCCGCGAGTCTTTAACAGCACTGTGAGGAAGCCACGCTTTACTAATGGTTTCAGTTATATAAATTCATGTTGTTGTTTTTTTTCTTCTATATGTAACATAATTGATTTTTTTTTTTCATGTTAAATATTATCAGTGTGGGGAGTAAGTTGTTACATGTAATTTAATTACAAAATAAATGTAACTAATGTTACAGTTATTAAGAAAAAATGTGTAATTCATTTACAGATACTTATGAAAATGTTAACGATTACAAAGGGGATTACATCTGAATATTTTCACACACAAACAGATTTAATTGACCACTTTCATAAATTGCATTAACTGCTCTAAAATATGAGACACCAATGTGTCAGGAGTTTAAGATACAGAATAGGACACATACTTATTCAATGACCATTTTATTTCCTATTTAGGTTTATGCGAATGCTTATTTTTGGCAACTAACAAGTCATTGTTAGATGTCAGTGTTTCCTATGCAATGATTTGACTAGCATAACTATTAAACTATAAGTTATGATTTTAAATCTGTATTTAACCTCAGAATGATCTCAAAGTAAAAAGAGGTGCTAAAGTCTGATATTTTGGGGGCTGTGCTTTAAATGAATTCTTAATCCGAGTGATGAAGGTTTGTGAAAGTCTGACCGTAATCAGTGTCAAATAAATGAATTGGACCTAACCGGAAGTGACTTCATATTCAGTGATGCTGTTGTTTGTCAGCCTCACAAATCTGAACAAAGAGTCTGATTCAAACTTCTGACTCCTGAGTGAATCTTTGTGACTGACTCATTAAAATGAAGCCGTTCATATGAGTGAGTGAGTGAGTGAGTGAATGTGAGAGTGAGTGAATGTGAGAGTGAGTGTGTGCGAGAGAGTGTGTGTGTGTGTGAGAGTGTGTGTGAGCGAGTGTGTGTGCGCGAGTGTGAGTGTGTGCGAGAGTGAGTGTGAGTGTGTGAGAGAGAGTGTGTGTGAGTGTGTGAGTGTGTGCGAGAGTGAGTGTGTTAGTGTGTGCGAGAGTGAGCGAGTGTGTGAGAGTGAGTGTGTGTGTGTGTGTGAGGGAGGGAGGGAGGGAGGGAGTGAGTGAGTGAGTGTGTGAGGGAGTGAGTGAGTGTGTGTGTGAGAGTGAGTGTGTGTGTGTGTGTGTGAGAGAGAGTGTGTGTGAGTGTGAGAGAGAGTGTGTGTGAGTGTGAGAGAGAGTGTGTGTGAGTGTGAGAGAGAGTGTGTGTGAGTGTGAGAGAGAGTGTGTGTGAGTGTGAGAGAGAGTGTGTGTGAGTGTGAGAGAGAGTGTGTGTGAGTGTGAGAGAGAGTGTGTGTGAGTGTGAGAGAGAGTGTGTGTGAGTGTGAGAGAGAGTGTGTGTGAGTGTGAGAGAGAGTGTGTGTGAGTGTGAGAGAGAGTGTGTGTGAGTGAGTGAGAGAGAGTGAGAGAGTGAGTGTGTGAGAGAGTGAGTGTGTGAGAGTGAGTGAGTGTGTGTGAGAGAGTGAGCGTGTGTGAGAGTGAGTGAGCGTGTGTGAGAGTGAGTGAGCGTGTATGTGTGAGTGAGCGTGTATGTGTGAGTGAGCGTGTATGTGTGAGTGAGTGTGTATGTGAGAGTGAGTGAGTGTATGTGTATGTGAGTGAGTGAGTGTGTGTGAGAGTGAGTGTGTGTGAGAGCGAGTGTGTGTGAGAGCGAGTGTGTGTGAGAGCGAGTGTGTGTGAGAGCGAGTGTGTGAGAGCGAGTGTGTGAGAGCGAGTGTGTGAGAGCGAGTGTGTGTGAGAGAGAGAGTGAGTGAGTGTGTATGTGAGGGTGAGTGAGTGTGTGTGAGAGTGAATGTGTGTGTGTGTGTGTGTGTGTGTGAGTGTGTGTGTGTGTGTGAGAGCGTGTGTGTGAGAGAGAGTGTGTGAGAGCGAGTGTGTGTGAGAGCGAGTGTGTGAGAGCGAGTGTGTGAGAGCGAGTGTGTGAGAGCGAGTGTGTGAGAGCGAGTGTGTGAGAGCGAGTGTGTGAGAGCGAGTGTGTGAGAGCGAGTGTGTGAGAGCGAGTGTGTGAGAGCGAGTGTGTGAGAGCGAGTGTGTGAGAGCGAGTGTGTGTGAGAGAGAGAGTGAGTGAGTGTGTATGTGAGGGTGAGTGAGTGTGTGTGAGAGTGAATGTGTGTGTGTGTGTGTGTGTGTGTGTGAGTGAGTGAATGTGTATGTGAGAGTGAGTGAGTGTATGTGAGAGTGAGTGTGTATATTGAGAGTGAGTGTGTATATTGAGAGTGAGTGTGTGAGTGAGTGAGTGTGAGTGAGTGAGTGTGTGTGAGAGTGAGTGAGTGTGTCTGTGAGTGAGTGTGTCTGTGAGTGAGTGTGTGTGAGAGTGAGTGAGTGTGTGTGAAAGTGAGTGAGTGTGTATGTGAGAGTGAGTGTGTGTGTGTGTGTGTGAGGGAGTGTGTGTGAGAGAGTGAGTGAGTGAGAGTGTGTGTGTGTGAGAGTGTGTGTGTGTGTGTGTGAGGGAGTGTGTGTGTGTGTGTGTGTGTGTGTGAGTGTGAGTGAGTGAGTGAGTGTGTGTGAGTGAGTGTGTGTGAGAGAGTGAGTGTGTGAGTGTGTGAGAGTGAGTGTATGTGAGAGTGAGTGTGTGTGTATGTGAGAGTGAGTGAGTGTATGTGAGAGTGAGTGAGTGTATGTGAGAGTAAGTGAGTGTGTATATTGTGAGAGTGAGTGTGTGTGAGTGAGTGTGTGTGAGAGTGAGTGAGTGTGTCTGAGTGAGTGTGTCTGTGAGTGAGTGAGTGAGTGAGAGGGAGTGTGTGTGTGTGTGTGT